GCCGATAACACAATAAGATGTTGGGATGTGTTGACCCAAAAGCAAACAGCTATTTTAGTAATTATATATACAGTTATATATAGTTAAATATGAATTAGAGTTAGGGTTAATATTAGAATTAGGCTTAAATAGAAGCATGCTCTGTGCCTCATGCTCTATTCTCTAGTCCTTTGGCATTCTAATTAAATTTTTTTTCTTTAGTTTTTTGACAACCTGATTAGTATAATATCTTGTCAAATACTTAATTCTTATTTAGTTTACTGCTAGTGTTTAGTTTCTGATAATTATTCTTTATATAATACTGTTAAAAATTTGTTATTTTTCTATTTAAAACTTATTAAACAGGCTTCTATATACCCAAAGCTTTTAAATTTATTTAACTACTTCATTTAAATTATATATTATACTATTGTTTTGCAACCTCCTAATACAAGCTAATACAATTAAAGTTATAGATATTGACCTATCAGTTTATATATAGTTTGCTATAACACATTCTGTAAATTCAAATTTTATCACCAGTGAAATTCAAACTCTTATTCTGCTGCTTAAAAGTAACAAATTACTAACTATACTAGATTATTACACCCTATTGAGTTTTAATATTATTAATTAATTAAAATACAAAATTATATAAAATATATACTATATAAGCATGAAATAATGCCTATATGTGTATTAATTAATTGATCTATACATTATTTCTAGTATGCACATGTGCATTATTTCAAAATATGGGTTAAATAATTATCTCTTGTTAATAATTGTAGTGACTTATACTGAGATTGGCTTATTTTAAGATTTAGAGTTCTTATTTAAATCTTTAACAACTACATATACTTTTTATTATAAATACTAACACTAATTTCTAACCTAACTATAAAAAAAAGGATTACAAAAAAGATCAAAAATTTTTGTAATTTTGATAATAAAATAAGTCAAATTCCCAGCATAAGCCAATCTCAGTATAAACTGTCACAATAATTACCATTAGTAAGAAATAAAAAGTGCATCTGAATTGGATTTGATACCAAGTAAATCTTACTTTATACTTTGACAAAAGATGTTCTCCAGACTGAGACGATTTTAACTGTGGTAAAATTATCAAAAACGGCCCAGTAGATCATCCACAATGGTTCTTCAAAATTTTAAAATGTTTGCGGGCGATCTAATGGGCCGTTTTTGATGATTTTACACGGTTAGAATCGTCTCAGCATGGAGAACAATTTTGTTAGAATACAAATAAAGGGTTACTCAGTACCAGGTCCAGTTCCAGCGCACTCGTACTTTTTTATTTTTTTACAAGGGGATGCGCGTTAATTCGAGACGCACATTGACGTTAATTCGAGACTGCATATGCTATTTTTGAAGGTCCTGAATTTCAAAATAACGCCCATGGGCGTTATTTCGCGCTTATACGGTATTAATACGTATTTTATTTCATATTTTAATTTGTTAATTAAATAGTATTTTAATTAATTAATAAAATAGTAAATATTCATTGAATATTCATTGAATTATTTGGTGAATTTTGACTGGGTCAAAATGACCCCACCTAGAATTTAGGGTTAGTGCGGGCCAGAATTAAGTTAGTGCTGGCCGGGTTTTGTATTAAAAAAATCCTGGCCGGCATCGACATAATTCTGGTCCGCACTAACCCTAAAATTTTGCTGAGGGCCATTTTGACCCGGGTCAAAATATTCAAATCTTCATTTGATGAAACTATTATCTGTTCGAATATTTGAATATTCAATGAATATTCGAATATACTATTCATCGAGTTAGACCTCCCTGTAGTAAAATTGTTTACTCATAATCACGGTTTTTGGCGATTATATAGAGGTAATGTCCAAATTACTCAAGTATCAAAATTTTGATTTTGGCGAACATGTTTTTATATCAGATTGAGTATTGATAATTATATAGTCAAAAATTAACGCGTTGTAATTTCAAACATTGCTAAAGTGTATTTTAATTTTATTGTGTATGCAATATTCTACTCTTCAAATGGTTTTACATTATCTGATTCCACCTGGTTACTTTTTTTAGAGCTTCTTATTTCCTGATCTTCAAAATATCTCGATATTCTTTCGTCTGCGGATGAATCCCCAAGCATCAATGCTAAACTGGCCGCAGTGCGTAGTGCTGAAGGATCACCACGACGCGATAAAACGTTTAATGCATGATGGATCGAATTCTCCTTTTTCGCCGCTAAATGGCTGGCAATAGAAGTACATTAAAACATGAACATGGTAACTATAAACATAATTCATTAAGGTAACTTAAACTACCACATTGCAGCCTGCTCGTATGCCTCTTCTTTTTCTAATTGATTGGCCCATAAGCAATATAGATCCGAAAAAATTGGATCCTCATCAATCAGACGAAGTTTTGCTAAAGCAATCGCCTCACTAAAATTATGCATTATGAAATTTGAAATTTTGGAAATTTTATTGTGATAATTTTTGGAATTTAATTAACTTACCGGTACATTTCAGCTTTGCGATAAACATTGATAGCCTCATAGACTTCTCCACACGCCAACCAACATAACACCGCGCCGTGACGGTCGTTTTTAGCTACAAGTTTCTCAGCCTGAAGACGTATCAAGGATTGCCATACGTCTCGGCCAGCTATTTATTGATCCATGAGATAAATTCAATGAAGAGTTAGAAGTTCAGATCTTTAACAAATGACATTATCAGTTAATTTAGAACAATGAAGTACCAAGTGGACTAAGGGCAAGAAGTATCCAATCTTTATTGGCAAATTCGTCATTATTTTCATAACTTTTAATCAATTCAGCAAAATTATTAGACCACATTTGCAATGGAAAAGTAGGACTGGCCTCCAATCCCCCTAAACCCATAGTAATTCCTAAATTGTTATGCGCATTGACTGCACACGCAAACGGAAGTTTTAGTAAAATTAGTAAAATTAATAGTTTGGAATTTTTATGTGCGAAAAATAGTTATATTTGTAGTTCAATCAATTACTTTCTTGCTCAATTATCTTTCGTGATTTATTTCCTTCCCCAAAAAATAGCTCTACAGATGGAGGAGCCTGAATATCGGTATTATCGTGTTCGTCGGTCAATATTTGACCTTTATGCTCATTATCAGCCCAAAATTCCATCGCTTTCGATATATCACCACCATATAATTTTCTTGCAATGTCAAAAGTGCTATATTGAAGATTTTTTCTTCGTGATGGAGATGTTGCCAAAGGCAAAAGGTTCTTGAACTTTTTTTTTTTGGATGCACGAACTTCAACTTTCTGAATTGGCTCCGGTATGTCTGTCGTTGTATGTGTTGTCGTATGTTCTAT